CATAGTAATATTAATAACCACATGAGGTCTAGAACCATAAGGATATTCTCCAGCAGTGAGCAATTAAGAACACTTTGCCTAAAAGTGACAATTTAGCAATGCAAATATAGGTGTGTTTTACATTACTTTATCAAGTATGGCTTCTTTTTTGTGTTTTTTTTTTTTTTTAAAGATGTATTTATTTATTTGAAAGTTAGAGTTACACAGAGAGAGGCGAGGCAGAGAGAGAGAGAGAGAGAGAGTGAGTGAGTCTTCCATCGCTGGCTCATTCCCCAATTGGCCGCAAGGGCTGGAGCTGTGCCTATCCAAAGCCAGGAGCCCGGAGCTTCTTCCTGGTCTCCCATGTGGATGCAGGGGCCCAAGGACTTGGGCCATCTTCTACTGCTTTCCCAGGCCACAGCAGAGAGCTAGATCAGAAGCGGAACAGCCGGGTCTCGAACCAGCACCCAAATGGGATGCCGTCGCTTCAGGCCAGGACTTTAACCCGCTGCGCCACAACGCCAGCCCCGAAGTATGACTTCTTATTGACATAAAAAATCTGTTTCTAAGTCAGATTTTGGTTCCAGTTTTCTTGTGCATGTAAGAAAATAGAGGCCAGGAGTTTGGCCCAGCAGTTAAAATGCCAACTAATTTGCTCACAACCCATTTCAGAGTGCCTTGGTTTGATTTCTGGCTCCAGGTGCCAACTGCAGCTTCCTACCAGGGTGACCTTGGGAGACAATAGGTGAAGGTTCAAGTAGCTAGGTCCCTGCCACCCTTGTGGGAGACCTTGTTTGACTTCCTGACTGCTGGTTTCTACCCTGGGGTCCATTGTGGACATTTGGGAATGAACCAGGGTGGTCAATTTCTTGTCTCTGTCTCTATCTCTGTCCTTTTCTGGTTCTCTCTGCCTCTCAAATAAATAATAATTTGTTAGCAAAGAATCAAGGAATTCAACAAATAGAATTCCTGGAATGTGAATTTATGAAATTCTAAAAGCAAAATATTCTCTTAAAGTCAACAGATACTAAGTTTTCAAAGTATATTGCTGACTAGCATGTATAATATAGTTTGTTGTATGTGTATCAGTGGTGGTGTGAAAGGGCACTAGAGAGAGAGTTACCCCTTTTACAATCTCTGTCAATCCCCAGTCCACATTGTTGTATGAAATTTTTTTTATCAGTCCTATGTACAGGACTATTTAAATTTAGTTTCATTCCTACCAAGTTGCTACCCTTAAACATTTTCTATAGAGAAATTCTAAAGCTGTCATTCTTTTAAAATATTATTTTATATAGAGATAGAACTAATTGGATTGCTTAAATAGTATTAAATGATTTCTTGTAAATTTTTGAGTCTCATTTCCAATTTCTGTGTTTTATTTTTCCTATAATAACCCTAAGTTGTTTTGTGATGAATAAATTTTAATTAACTTCTGTAAAACACAAATA